CTCAATGTTTCCTGGTCAAGAAAAAAGCAAACGTAAAATTTTGCAATAACTTTCCTACCTCGGACTACTTTTAAAATTAGTGATTGATACACTTCATCATCATTATCATCCTCAGTCCCGTAGTTCCACCTCTGTCAGTCTTCCGCCAATCTGGCCAGCTGGTTTGCTATAATATACGTGTATGAGTACTACTAAATTTAATGCGTCATACTGTAACACAGGAAATGACAATCATGAAACCTAAAAGGCTGGATACTGTGCAATAGTAGGAAAAAAGACAACAATCAGTTGTAGCTACAGTTATAGTAAAATCCGACAGCTTGCATTGTTCAAAGGGAAACTTTAAATAGCTGTCATTATTTACTACATACTACAATAATTATTGCATATTAACTACAATGTGAGACTTAAATGTTTCTTACATTCTTGAGCGGAGGTTCAAATATCTGGTCCGTCAGTTCGTTGCCATGCCGACTTCTCTTGGAGGGGTAATCTCCCATGTACTTCATAATGGGTGATCAGTGTTAAGGATACAATCAACATCCCATGGAAGAAGACAATGCTAATTTCAAATACATTTTGTATCTTCATTTGTAATGAACGCTTTTATACTGCTTCATATCATTTACAAAGGCCATCAGGAAAAGTTTTTTTGGTGGGCCCCTTACTTTCAAATGCAATGCCGTCCCACCAATGCCCCCTAGCATGTCATGGTAAAACTGCAGATTCTATGATCTGCACCTGTTAGCAGCTTTTCAGATATAATAGAAGTGACTGTCTCAAATGAACCATCGAGTCTAACAATTCTGAGTTTTCTGCATCAAGTGTTCTCTTTCTTGTTCCTACATCAATAATGTATACTCTGCTCAGAGGTGTCAAAATTGTTCTGCATATTGCTTGAGTATAGCACCACTGTGTATTTTTCTTTGATTTGTTGCACACATACACAAATCTTCACAGTTGTGAAAGGATATACATGAAGCACATGGTGGCCTCCTGGCTGAGCTCATCGTTGGGCAGCAGCCTCTTGAGCAGCGGCTGTTTGATGGGTTCCTTGGTGTAGCTCCACAGCTCATCCTTCTGTCTGCTCTTCAGCGCACGCGTCAGGGTACGCTTGGGCGGCGGTCTGTAACAAACAGGGAAAATTCATTGTTATCAGGGTATGTTTGGGGGGGGGGGCAAACAGGGAAAATTCATTGTTGTCAGGGTACGCTGGGAGGCGGTCTGTAACAAACAGGGAAAATTCATTGTTATCAGGGTACGCTTGGGGGGCGGTCTGTACCAAACAGGGAAAATTCATGGAAAAAAAATTAAACTTTATTACAATACAAAGATTAAACAGAGATAAAATTTTCAATGACCACTGTCACTTTCTTCAGGATAATTAATGACCGATCACTTCAAAACATAATCTCGCAAGAGTTATGGTTACCCTCAGTTAGAGGAATTCTGGGCATCCAGCCGTAAAAAATATCTTGCTTCAAAAACACTTGCACTATTTTCAAACAATTCTAACCCCCAGTTTCAGGTAAGAAAGACGTTAAACTGGATAGAGAAAGAAACTGGATTTAAGGAGTGTAGCTGTACCTGAAGTGGTCGATGGAGAACTCCTCCAGTGTGTATGGCTTCTCGGGTGGTTCTTCCGTCTCGATGGCTGCCTGAGACGTGCGCAGTTCACTGATCTCCTTCTCCGACATGGTGAACAGTTGCTGAGGAAGATATTAAAATCGAAGTATAAAAAATCGGTAGAGAAGGTGGTCTTGTGGTAATGAAGGCTGACTTAATTACAAGGAGAATCTGAAGGTTTGGGGTTTGAATCCCTATCAGGCTCCTATATTCTGCCATTTGGAAAGGCATGTTTTACCCAATATAGTATTTCCTCACTCCACTCAGGTGAAAGTGAGTACCAATATCTTCAGTTATGTACTTACTTACATTGTGTCATGTTCAAATGCTAGGTTCTGTATTGATTGTCAGAAGGCCTTAGTAGCCCATAGCTTTTTAAAATTATGATAATCCTATATGGCTAGTGGGGCAGATCTGGTTGTACTGTACATCATTCACAAACAAAAGCAATAAAAATGAAATGATAAAATAAAGTATTAGATTTGTCCACTCACCAGAATGTCAGGTGCAGGTTTGGTGACGGTCGGCACCACGTACACACACTCGGCAGGGAAGTCCCCGCGCTGCCCCGTCCTGTCATTCTGTCCGTAACACCAGCCAGAGTTCATGACCGTGTCACCGCTGTCCTGGTCCAGAACAATCAGGTCACCCTTCTTAAAGGCCAGGAAGGATGAGCTGTCTGCAGCTAAGGAAAGAGATTGAAATTAACGTTCGCATAATTTTAAAAAAAATTATGCCGTGTGAAGACCAGGATGTCAAGAACCTACGTCACAATAGCTGTGTTTAACTAACACACACATGCTTGATGAGTCACCTGATATATTTAGGGTTTACAAAACACAAAAGGCTATTCTTAGCAGGTGACGTCTTGCGTTTTGAATCGGCTACCTGGTGTGTGTCAGACGTCAACCGGCACTTTTCTTTTTCGTATCCCAAAGGACTAGTTGTATAACTGCGCTTGAGAAGAGAAGGCAAGGTTTCTGGTGTGTGATGCCGGATCTTTGGACAGTATTTGTCGTCTTGTCATTCTAATTTGCCCTCAGTGGACAATCGTCATTTATGTATCTGTCATCTTTGCTCTTAAAATGAACCGGGTCACTGAACACCACAATGTAGGTCAGGACTGTGTAGCTCTGTAACACACGTTACAATAACTTACATGTACCTGTACCTGTAAACTAGTTTAATTCCTGCCAGTCTAATTTCTTGGTGATCAAAATTGCCATGTTTTGGAATATTCTGGCTTGGTTCTCGTCTGGAAACCAGAAGGGAATTATAATCGTGGTCGCCCTTTTTTTAACGCTTAAAGTGGTAACTGAAGAGGACACGGGTCACGGCGATGAATTGTTCTCTGTCATGCGTGACTGAGTCTACCAGTCCTGATATTGTAAAGGGCTTTAATGATTTCTTTAGCATGGCGGGACGTAAGCTGGCGGAATGCTTTGTTTCCCACATCTCTACTCCTGCATGCCCATAAGTGAATGGATAAAATAAATGAATGAGTGAATGAATGAATGAGTGAAGGAAGGAAGGAAGGAAGGAAGGAAGGAAGGAAAGAATTAATGTTTTTTTAAGGACTCACCTGGTGTGGGACTGTCCTGCAGGGCGATGACATATTTGGACTTCTTCTTGAGTCCCTCCAGGAAGCAGACCACCAGCTCCCTGATGTCCTCAGCGTTGGCGGAGGTGAAGGTGTACTCATCTCCCTTCACTGTGGACAGGGTGAAGCTCTGCCCATGGATCTTACCAGTCCTGGTGGGAAGGAGGCAAGGTGGTGTTGTGGTTAGGGTTTGTTTGTTTGTTTGTTTATTGAGATCTCCATTAGTATGGTAATTAACTCGGAGTCCATACTATTCTTCCTAGAGTCCAGCAACATAAAATAAAATAACAATAATAATAATAATAATAATTACTTTTAGCAATTATAGTAATAAATAAAACATACAAATCATACTGAAATTATAACAAACTTGAAACAGAATCAGCATAGAGAAATAAAAGGGTTGATGACTTAAAATCTAAAGGTTCTGGGTTCAAATCGCACATAGAAACCATGAAACAAAAATCGTGATTTACAGTATAAGCAATCAAATATAACTCCTAATCAGAAGCTGAACTCCATCACTAACTTCCCCCTACCCACCCAGTACTGACCTGCTGCTGGATACAGCAGTGATTTCTGGGAAGGACAGCTCCAGCAGGACCTGCTCCTGATCGTCCACGATGTACACGCCCGTCCAGTTCACTGCGATGATCACGTCGTTCTTCGGCAGGCTCGGCCCGGAGAACTTGTACGCCTCGTAGAACCGCGAGAACAGCAGCGGCCACTTGAACTTGGCGTAGCTGACGACGTCTTCCTTGACTCGGATTGGATCCACGTTGTCCTTCACATAATAGCTCTGGGGAAAGAAAGGTTGATTTGCAGATTATGTTGTTTTTGCTTAACAGAAAATTCAGGTGACATCTCTCCCGATACTAAATTCATGACCCGTTTTCTGTAATCCATGCTAACACTTTTTGTATTAAGCATAAATTTGGGATTTATTCTTTTAGGACTAGAAAAAAATTG